ACGCGTCCTGGGCTGCCACCGACCATGCTGACTGTTTGTATGACATATTTGGGTAAAACGTACGACGGCCCGAACCGGCATGACCGAGGAGTTCGGGTAGGGTTTTTTTGTTTTTTTTTTTTTGCTGGCCGCCGGCTTCGGCGGGACGCCAATACGAGCCATTCGTTATATCCTGTGATTTATCAGGTCAAGGAAATCAGAAAATGGGATGCTAAACTCCGCCACCGCAATGCGCTTCCTGTATATTGTTCTCTGATATCAAAAAAAAGGGCGGCTGTCTTTGTAACGCTGGGTCAAGAGACGAAGTGCGTGCCTATCAAATATTTGTGTTCACCGCAAGCCAACAACAAGACACGGTGAGGTCTGTCGGGAAAGCAGAGCACCGAGGAGAGACCACCGGAGCCGTGGGTAGAACCAATGGACATGGGGTGTAAATAAGGAGGAAAGCGTAAAGAATGCCAAACAATGTACAAAACGCAATCCATCTTTCCTTGAGCCCGAGGGTATAAAACCAGAGCGTGTCCCTGGTGCAGGAACAGAAAAACAAAGGGTGGCAAGAGCCAGAGAGATGGGGAGAGCGCAGGGAGGAAGGTGAAGTGATATCCTTGGTGCCATCTCACGATTCCCGCCGCCAAGCGCCAAAACAAAGAATAGGTAATAAAAAAACAAAAAAAAACGCCTTCCAAACATTTACTCCGCTGATTTTCTTTCGCTTCTTGCGCCGTCCCAGAGGGTGTCTCGAGACCCGTGTCGTAGCGTTATGTAGGCAAGACGTGGAATACAAACAATCCTGTCCTACCGCATTAAGTAAAAGAATACGGACGGGGAAAAAAAAGAGGAAGAAAAAGAAACGTGAAAGCGCTGAAAGGTGAAGTTTCAGGAGCGACGACGGGTAGAGCAAGGAATGCGAGACCCTCCTAATAAAGAGGATAATAATAAAGAGGCCGCATCTGCATGGAGCGACAACCTTTGCGCAACCATCCCGCCTCAGCAAAGCAAGGTCACCAAAGATGTCCCTACATGCCCTGATGCATCATGCCACCCATGCCCTGCTGCTGCATCGCCGCCTGCACCTGCGCCTGCTGGAGCATCGCCTGCTGCTGCTGCCTCCTCACGTGGATGCTGTTGTTGAGCTGAGCCCTAGCCTGCTGCATACACGAGTTCCTAAACGTGAGCAGCGTCTCGGGCGGAATGTTATCCTGCCCGCCATGTCGCTGGATCAAGTTCGGTAGCATCTTTTGATAGATGTTCCGCGATATTGCCACCAGCTGCTGCTGCATCTCGCTGGGCATCTGCTGCTGTCCCGCCGCCGCCGCTGCCTGCTGGTTCATGTGCGCCATCTGCTGCAGCATCTGCGGTGTCATTTGCGGGTGACCCTGCTGTTGTTGTTGCTGCTGCTGATGTTGCTGCTGCATGCGCTGCTGCTGCGCCATCTGCTGCATACGCTGCTGGAGCATGGCTATCTGCTGCGGGTTCATGTTGTTGAGTTGTATGTTCTGGGGCATCATCTGCGGTTGCATGCCCGCTTGCATGTTGCCGCCTGCCGCCTGCTGAGCAGCGTGCATCTGCTGCTGGAGATTTTGCTGCATGTTTTGCTGCGACATGTTGTTGACCTGTTGAGCGTACTGGGCAAACAGCGCGGGGTTTTGCTGGAGCCGTAGCAGCTGCTGCATCTGCTGCGCCGTCATCTGCCCGTTGGGCTGTCGGTTCATCATGCCGTTAACCATGGCGGCGTTCGGCATCTGTTGGTGCTGTTGCTGCTGGTTACTCTGGTGCTGTTGCTGCAGTCGCTGTTGATGTTGCGCCATGGCGATCTGGCTCGCCAGGTGCGGGTTTTGTATCTGGAGCGGCGCCGCCATGCCCTGGTTGTTCATCGACAGCATGGCCTGCGACATTTGCGCGTTCGTCATCATGCCCGACGGCGGGCTGGCCTGGCTCATCCGAGGTGTCTGCACCATGTGCGGCGGCCGGTTGTTGGGCGTCGCGTGCGCCATGTTGGGCGTAGCATTATGCATCCTAGGCGTGCCTGCGTGGCTCTGTTGGCTACCCCTGGCCGACATGCTGGCTGTCATGGCAGCCGACATGGGGGGATGTGTCTGAACAACCGAGGCCGGTATTGGCGGACTGCCCATGGCCGAGCCCATGTTGGAGTTCGAGGTTTGCATGGCAACGCCGCCGTGAACCATGGGCGACGACATGTTCAGTGGTGTATTGTTCCGAACTATGGGCGATGACACCTGCGGTTGTGACACAAACCGCGGTTGGGCCTGCGCATGCATCCCGTTTGGCATGCCATTAGGAAGCGCGCCCGAGACAGGCACGTTTTGCTGCGGGTGCCCATGCGGTGTTGCGACCATGCCGGCGGTGCTCGGCGGGGATTGGGCCTGGATTGCAGCTTGGGCTTGGGCTTGAGACACGGCGTGGGCGTGAGACTGTGCTTGTGGTTGGTTTTGCGCCTGTTGCTGAGCTATCGCACGACGCTGGGCAAGCATCGCCTGCTGTTGTTGCTGTTGGTGTTGTTGTTGCTGCTGTTGCTGCTGTTGCTGCTGTTGTGCTTGTTGTTGCGCCTGCTGCACCTGTTGCTGTTCGCGGGCGGCTTGCTCGCGCCGAAGCCTCTCTTGCTCTTGTCGTTGGGCTTGGGCTTGGGCTTGGGCTTGAGCCTGGGCCTGTTGCTGTGCCTGAGCCTGGGCCTGAGCCTGCTGTGCCTGAGCCTGCTGTTGTGCCTGCGCCTGAGCCTGAGCTTGCGCCTGGGCTTGTGCCTGAGCCTGTGCCTGTGCCTGGGCTTGTGCTTGTGCTTGCTGTTGTGCCTGAGCCTGCGCTTGAGCTTGTGCTTGTGCCTGGGCTTGTGCTTGGGCTTGCTGTTGTGCCTCGAGCTGCTGCTGCTTCTGGGCAAAGAGCTTCCGCTCGTCCTCGGCGGCCTGCAACTTCTCCTGCTCATTTCGCTCCATATGCTCACGCTTAATTTCGGCAATGAGCTTGAAGCGCTCGAAGCGCGGCTCGAAGGCAGCTGCCGCAGCCTGCGCGTCTCCATCGCCCCCAGAATTCGAGGTTTGGTTGCCACTGATCCGGGAGCTGAGGCGGTCGTCAAGCGACAACATATACCGCTCCCGCTCTGCTGCTGCCGCCTCGTCTGCCGCCATCTCGGCAACGGTCCGTTTCCGAGTCTTGGGCTGAGGTGGGTCGTGTGAATGGTGAGGATGGGCCTGGGATTCAAGTTTGCGGATTGTCTCCTCCGCGCTCCTGGTCGGTTCCAAGTCCAACTCGGCTGTAGTCGCAAGCAACACCTCGGCCTCGAAGGCGTAGATATTCGTTGCGTCGAGCTCTGCACGCTCACGCTTTTGCTTCTTTGCTGGCGGTGGCATTGCGCTTGTTGGTGTAGGTGGAATGGCTGTCAATGGCGTTGATGGTGGTATTGTCGCCGAGGACCCGTCCTGGCGGCCATCGACGTTCCTTGGCGTGAACGTCTTGATGGATAGGTCCATTTGCAAGGACTGCGCAGTGGGGTGGAGCACAACAGTCGCAATCTTTGGTTTCGGTGGCGGCTTGCTCTTGGGCGGCTCGGGGAGTCCATTGGGGATATGCTGGTTTTCCTTGTCGTTGTCGCCGTCGTCGCCCGAGGTCTTGCCTTTGGCATCGCTACTCGGCGGAGGCTCTTCTGCGCCGAAGCTATCTTTGGGATACGGGGCATATGGCGAAGGGGTGATGTACGGGTTGTAGTTGTGTATCGAGAACTGGACCGTGTTGTTGGAAGCGGAGGCGGGGCGCTCGACGTCCTTGGCCTGAGACTGGGCGATAACAGACTTGTGGTCGTGAACCTGTACGATGAGGCAGCCCTCGTAGAATGGCACACCGCCCTGGACGAAATACTCGAGCAGGTCGTGCGGTACTGTCCTTTGCCGGAGGTGCTCGAGGAATATCTTCATCGGTGACTTGTATGGGAATATGCCGTCCTGCTGATCAAACCGAAAGTGTGTCGGGTGCAGGTGCAGGACGAGCGATGGCGGGTGGCCCGAGTATTTTTTGAGTATGTATGGGTCCGACACAACTGCATCATGGGTTAGCGGGTCTCACACGATGGCGCTGGGCTCGGCGGGCGGTGGTGATGGACTTACCATATGGTCTCGGCTCCGCTGCCGGCACCACCGCGAACTCGCCAACGGCTGTAGGAGGCGCGGCTCCGGCTCCGGCCTTGGGCGGCCGGGCCGAGATGGGGCCCGGGGCATCTCGGCGTATTCCGTTCGTGCGACGGCTGACGGGGGAGGTTGTGCCGTTTGGGGTCGCCGAGGCCAGACTCTGTTTTGCGGCAGAAGGCGGGCGCTTGGTCTGGAGAGAGGGTGACGGCGACGACTTGGAGGGGGTCGCGCCGTTGGTCTGGATGCCTGGGGGCGCAGGTCGCTTGAGTTTTTGAGCGGGCAGGGTGGGCTGCATCGGCGCGCCAACCGGCGCCATCTTTGCGACAGCGGTGTGGTCAGGAGGCAGCGATCCTTGGATCCAGGGATGCGGTTAAGATGGCGCGCGAGGGCGATGGGGATGTCGGCGCCGAGGACGCAAATCTCCCACATTCAAAGCGCGGCACGGGAAGCGACCGTGCAAGACATCTGTCGTCGGGAGCGAGCGAAGAGAACCGAAGTTTCGATAGCGCGGGAATGTGGAAGCGTGGAGTGGTGTCTGGCGATGTCTAGCGTCGACCTTTGGCGGTCGGTTCGATGGACCACCAGCCGGACGCGGGACAAAGGGGTCGCGATGGGTAGAGGCGGCCCGAGACTAGGGATTGCGAAGCTCGTAGCGGAGGCGGCGATTGGGCGCGATCGGCTCGCGACGTGGCCGCGGACCGGGACGTCTCGGGAGTTCAATTGCGTAACAATGCGATGATCCAAGAACGAGAGTCGAAAGATACAGAGCGAGCCGGAGCGCTTCGTGATGATGATGGGCTCTCCGTGTGGGGTTGGACTCCAAGTCACGCAACAAGAAATCCAGATGAGGCTCGGCGGATGAAGTTGGCTGTCTCAATGACCCACAGCGCGTTTGTGGCATGCGCCAAGGTCATGTGATGTGCAGACGAGGCTTTGCGCGAGCCAAGTAGAAAAGGAAGGCAAGCCGGAGAAGGTTCAGTGCATAGGGCTCATCGGCGCCTAGGAGTCAGTATTCAAAATTTAAAGCGATTTGAGTTTGTAAAATCCTTTCTCCTCTTGAGCTACAGCAGACAAAGTTCGATGTGGTGACTGCTGTTTCTTTGTTTTCGCCCTCCACGCCTTCATCATATGCCGTATGGTGTTCGAGTCCTCTGGCTTGGTGGATACCAGTTGGGTCTCAGCGGCCCCACATTCTTTTGAGGCTGCCGACAAGACACGACAGCTGGAGCTGAGGTCAGGGCGGGTACCAGCATCCACACACTATCTCCGTTGGTGTTGGTTCTGGTTTGGTAGCTAAGGTACCGGGTACGTATGTAGTTTCTCTTCTCTTACCCCTCTCGAACCCGACTGGTATAGCCGGTTAATGTCATGGTGGCATCATTATCGGTGACAATCCGGCTGTCACCCCGCCTCGCCCGGCTCCATTGATCTGCGCCGTAAGGTCAAGGCCGTGTCTGGCAGCAAGAGGCCCTGTTCCCACCTGTTTTTGGCGCTGTATAATTCAAGTGGAACCTACATAGCTTTCAGTGCATGCGTGGAGCTGCAGGTCTGTCACATCCAATGAGAAGTCCCATGCCTGCGTGAGCTGAATGTCTTCTACTTCTGATAGGGGTAAAGTGCCATCCCTCGTGGATTAGGAAATATTCCAACGCTTTTGGCAGACAGAATATCACCTTGTAAGAGACGGGAACGCCTAATGCACAATGCGATGCCTTTAAAAAAAGGATCCCGCGTTCTTCAGATTCAAGAAAGATAGCTCTACCTATGGGGCTATAAAAAAGTAACGACCGCATACCTCATCAGCGTCGTCCTGGGCCAGCCAAAGCCTGCCTGCCTACCAACCTACCCGAAAGTCCGCCAAAAAGAATAGGACATGTGTAGAATATACCTTCCCGTTGACTGCGATGAAACGGGACCACGAGACTGAAACCTTTTCACAATCATCGCCGCCTACTCTCTACCCTGGACGCGACGCCCCCAGTCGTCACCAACCCTCATCCCGTCGACAACGATGACGCCCCTGCCCCTGCCGACGCGCTCTTCGCGTTGCCACCACTTTGTGACCTCATCACTGGGCCTGTCCGCCTCAGACTCGCTGTCGGCGAGGCCGCCGTCACCGCTCTCGGCGCCAACAACGAGGATGATGTCCTTACTCAGCCACGTCTGCAGCTGCGTCACGACTGACCCGTTGTCGCCAGAAAGCGACTCCTGCAGATACACGACGTCGGGCTGGAGATGTCGTAGGATATGCGAATGTCCTGTGCTGCTGGTGTAGGGCAGAACCATGGTCTCCTTTTCAACCAGTGCCAGGGCCTGTGAGTAGATGGCGTTGAATCCAGGGTTGGTGGAAGATGATGCGTTAAACCTTTGCGGGACATTCCTGTTAGTCGAATTGGGTTAAGAAGCTGATAGTACATGGCAGGATGCACATACATGGGGCTCTTCTCATCCTTGGGCGATTGCGCCTGGGCGTGATCAATGTTTGTGAATGACGAGCTCAAAGACCCCGGCGGAAGCTCGCCGGTTGATGCCTCAACCGCAGCATCCTTCAGACTCGGGGCGTAGATGAGGACGAAGAGCTTGATTTTGGAGTAGTTGATGTTTTTAGGAATGTGGGACAGAATTGACTGTAGAGCATAACAAGTCAGCCATTCGTCTCAACCCAAAGGAGCATGTAATTTTGGACTCACGGCATGCTCGACGAACCCGTCCGCCTCCATGTCGTCAAGGTTAGTGTCGGCCGACACCACAATGGCGACCGTCTTGCGCCTTTTGCTGGACGAGGAGCCGCCACCTGAACCAGCGGTGCGGGAAGTCGAAGTCACCTTCTTCTTGGCGTCGGCCTCCTCAGACCATGTCTCATGGTCGGCGTAGGCGCCCTTGTCCTCCTCCCGGATCGCGGCGAGCGCGCTCCCGACGGCGGCACCTGCAGCGGCCATGCCCGCGGCGACCGTCTTGCCGGCGCTGTCGAAGAATTGCTGCGGGCTCGGGGTGCGTCGCAGCGCGCCCGACATGCGGGAACCCCACCCAGCGTTGAAGTTCTCCTCGCCGGGCTTCGCGTCCCCCGATGGGCGGGGGGCGCCGGCCTGGCGCCCAGCGACGCCGCGGTCGGTGGCGCCATAGGGCGGGTTGTCCCCGTAGTCGGCATTGTTGTAGTCGATGTCAGTATGCTGGGGATGCTGCTGCGGCGGCTGCTGCTGCTGCTGCTGCTGCTGCTGCTGCTGCAACGCGAGTGCGCTCTCGTCGTCGTCGTCGCTGCTGCGCTGGCTCCACACCCAGGCGGCGACGCCAACGGTCGCAACCGTCACCGTCAGGGCCAGGGGCACCCAATGGGACCACACACCGTGGCGGCGGGAGGAGCCGCGGTTATCGTAGGGCGAAGACATTTATCGAGGTGAAGAGAGCATCGCATTCCAGTCGGGGCTCGTGCTCGAGGAGGGGAAGACGACCGGGGATCGGGCGACGCGCTCTCTCGATGCGTCCGACAGCCGAGGGACCAAACACGTCGTCGTCAGGAAGTCAGGCTCAGCCGGGGACCCAGTCCAGTAGCGTGTCTTTGCGCAGTCGAGCTTTCGCGCGTTCGCGGCGCAGAGCAGGCCGGGACACGGTCGATAGGCAGTCGGACGGCAGATAAATATCGTGTGGCTGGAGAGGTGGACAGGTGCGTTCCGAATCTGCAGCCCGCCGAGGTGTGCGTTGGCCTGGGCGCAGCAGGGGAACACAGCGGGAGCCGATTTGCGGGTGGCTGGGCCTCCAGTCGACCAGGCTCTGTTGACCTCCCAGCCATTGATGGTTCGCTCCACTGTCCAGCGCCGGCAAGGCTCAGCTGCCGCGGCCCGTTGTGGTTGGCCCGGTGCCCAAGCGCGAAGCAGGGATGACGTGCCAAAATGGGGCCGCTTGCACGTGATGGGAGGGGCCGCCTTGGTTCCTGCCTGCGATCCGCTCCTGCCAAAAACGCAAAAACGGCACGCCAGCGCTGTTTGGCCGCCGGGATTCTGAGCTCCAGCTGGCCGTGGGGCCGCAGAGCTTCGAGTGGATCGCCTCAACCGCTGGAAGCGCACACACTGGATCGCTGCATGGTGGTGCGGCGGGATGACGATGAGTCAATGGGCATCGTGAATTCAGCGCCACAGATTTCACACAGAAAGCTGCAACTTTAGTCGGCCTGGAGCAAGTGAGGACGTCTGCGACCTCTAGGTTTCTACCTCTGTACCCAGACTGTTCCTGCTCTTTTGGTTCTGAGACATCTCCCATTTGATTTGAACTGGCACACGGGCACAGACAGGCAGCCCCCCTCCAAATCGCCAATCGCATATCGCAAATTGCAAAGCTGCTCCGCCAACCCCGCGCATCGCCATGCCCCCTGCCGTCACGGCCGTGGCCCCTGGGCTGCAGGCCCTGATTCTCTGCGGCCCTGGCTCTTCCTTTCCCACATTCACTGCCAACCCTGACGAGAACCCAAAGGCGCTCCTCCCCATCGCCAACAGGCCCATGGTCTGGTACCCTCTGAGCTTCTGCTACAGGCTGGGCATCACAGGTTCGTTTGCGCCTGTGGTCGCCTGTCTCGGACGGGCCCGGGGTGCTAACACAACTCTTAGACATCACTCTCATCTGTCCGCCAACGGCATCAGAAGCACTCAATGTTTCGCTCAAGACCAACCCATTCCTCACTGGTCTGCCCCTGCCGACACCCAACCTGCTGGCGCCAAAGGATCTGACATACAACACTGGCACCGCCGAGATTCTTCGTCTGCCCGAGGTGAGGTCGGTTGTGAACCGGGACTTCTTAGTCTTGCCATGCGACCTCGTTTGTGAGCTTGGTGGCGACGCGCTGGTGCAGGCATGGATGGTCAAGTCCGCTCAGCTGAAACCCGACTCTGGCGACGACGGCGACGGTGCAGGCGGGGTATATAGCGGGGGACTGGGCGTGTGGTATGACACCAAGGTCGCACCTATTAAGGGAGAGGAGACAGACTTTATAATCACCACGCCTGTTCCATCCCTCCCCATAGCACCAACCAAGGGATCAGCCATACCAAGCGTGGCTAACCTGGCATACTCTATGCCAAAGGACTCGCTCAACGATCTAACCGAGGAAAAGGGCGGACTTCCGATCCGACATGGCCTCCTCCGCCGCCACCCCAGGATACGCATGATGACGAACCACAGGGACGCCCACATCTACATCTTCCCCCGATGGGTCATGGACTTTGTCAACGAGAACGAGCACCTCGAGAGCATCGGCGAGGACGTCGTTGGCTGGTGGGCAAAGGCTGGCTGGCAGGACGGTCTCGCCTCGAAACTTGGCTTGGACAAGCTGCTGCGCCCTGGAGGCCAGTCCCCAGCAAAGGGGCGCGAGTGGCACTCGCACAGCCCCGAAAGCGCACCGTCTTCTCCTATCGAGGCTGGTGCTCTAGGGCCAGCGGGAGGTCAGCGGCATGGCCAGAGCGGCAAGGTGTCGTCCAAGGCCGAAAAACCAACAACAGTCCCACCTATGCTGGCTTACATTCATCCATCTCAACCAGCCGAGCCCCTGATCCGCCGTGTGGACACGGCTCAGGCGCTGCTCGAGGTGTCGCTCCAACTGGCAAAGCTTCCCTCTATCGAGGAGACGGGTGCGGCGGCGACATCACCGTTTGCACACGCTCGCAAGGTGGCGTACCCTGAGGGCGTACGCTCTCGCACGACCATAACGCGGCCCGACAGCCTCGTGGCCGACAATGTGATAGTCGAAGAGAAGGTTTCGATCAAGGAGTCGATAATAGGCGCCAACTGCAGGATAGAGGAGGGCGCCAAGCTACAACACTGTCTTCTCATGGACGGCGTCGTTGTTGGTAAGGGCTGCAGACTTGTCCGCTGCATCCTCGGCAAGCGCAGCCAGGTTGGAGAAGGTTCAACATTGATGGACTGCGAGGTTCAGGAGAACCTTTTGGTTGAGCCCAAGAGTACGTGTCTCATCTCCGCTGTCCCCTAGGGGTTGCCGCTACCCAGGCTGTCTTGAAATTTGACGAGCGCATACTGACACACCATGTTTCCCCCCGTCTAGCCGAGGAGAAGAATACCAAGATCATGAGCTCGTCGGGCCTCGAGGCCACGGAGGAAGAGATGCAGGAGGCTCTCCAGGGCCTCTCCGACAGCGAGCCAGTAGCCGAGTAGCAGAGGCTGGTGACGAAGGAGGGATAGCTCAGCTGCTCCATTCTGCAGCAAGTGTTGGATATTGCCGTAGATTTCTACAGGTCGGCGTCGTGGAAGGTGGCCCAGAGCGGCCCATCTCCCACCTCATGCCCGCAACAGTGAGACCTTGTGGCAATATTTGTTGGCGCATTGACGTGCCCGTGTATGGTGCTTTTGTCGATCGGGATAGACCTCTGCTCGGACATTAATATCGGCGCCCTCCCTGACGCCGGAGGGAGACTGGTTTATCCCCCTTGGGCGTTTTGCCAATCTTCATGGACCATGTGTTTGGGCGTTCCCCTTGGGCACGCCAGTATGAAGATGTTTGATACACTTATGGCCCACGACCTCAATCGCGGCTTGGTAAACCCCAAGGTCATGGCAAGGATGGGTCAATGTTGAGCAATCTTGTCCAGCTGCCTGGCGTGCGTCGTGGGGTTGTGCAGCGGGGCTTCCATGTTACTCAATGCACCTAGCCCGTTGGGCCGCTCAATGTAGGATTCCAGCCTTGGTCAAGAGCCATGGAAGTAACATCGATGGAAGGTTCTATGCCGCCAGTGAATACTACGGGATCCGATTTGTGAACCTTGTATGTATATCGAGCATGTGTATTTAACTGTGATAGCATGCAGGGTACGATATATACTTTATGTCCTAGGCACGCTGCTATCATCACCAATAGACTTATCATTGTGGCCCTGCATATGCTGGCCGCCCTCCAGGGACTGTAGAGTAAAAAAAGACCCAGGCATTCAGTTGGAGGAAGCAAGATTGTATACCGCCCGTCCGCTCGTAAGTCGACACGAGAGATTGCCGGCGGATGTCGAGATGGAGCTCCTGTGTTTGTGCAAGCCAGGTGTCAGGGTCCGTTGCGGGTGCGTTTTGCTGACCTAAGTGCGAGTCCCCGGGCGCCTTGCATTATTTTGACGCCATGGAACAGCGACTTCCCGGCCGCCATCGGGCCGACTTTGAAAGCTCCGTCGGCCATGCCGTGTTCTTGTGTGCTCGTCGGGATCGGCATGTGGATGACAGGAAAAGAAGACGATGCCTCGGATAACTGGCTCGCAAGGGGACTCAGCTCCCACCCGTACGCAACACATGCTGGCCGGGGGCAAAGTTGGGAGTGACAAGGCGGCGATGTCCTGTTGCATCGCCCGAGGACCGCTCACGGGATTTCTCGGGTAGGCCAAGACACTAGGGCCTCTGGGGATGATGCAAGGCGGAAGCGTAGGTGGCCACTGATTCAGATGATGGACGATCGGGTGTTGGGAGAGCCGGGAGCCAAGCGCCCTCCTTTGCAGCCCCCGTGGCTAGCGGGCGAGGTCTCTCCAAGAAACGCAGGCGAGACGTTGTGGTTGCGCCGTGGCAACGACAAGGACACCATCAAGGCGACGATATTCTGCCACATACCGGCGGCTATTGCACACACACACACACACACACAAATACACATGCACGCACACCGCCAAGCAACCATGCATGTTGCTAAATACGTCCCCGATAGGGCTATTAGGAGGAGATGGGGGCGGGCGGCGCTTGTTTTCCCGGAGACGCCGGCGTCGTAGCCAAGGGGCCGCCACCCAACGCCGCCCTACGTGAACGGGTGGGGGGGAGAGACGGAGAGATTGAGAGAGAGAACTGGTAGAATGGCTTTTGCCCGCCTGGATGCGAGACTCGCTCGACAATGCCGGAATAGGAAAGGCTAGTTTGGAGCGTCCACGAATAGATGGCATCTCTCACAGCAGCAGCATCCGTCGCTAGGAGGATAAGGCAGGCAGGCGGGTAGGCGGCGAAGGACGGCTAGTTTGTACCGATGTACCCTCTAGCCTGCCAAGGCCTGGAACTGCGTTGCAACCGAGCACAAGGGGGGGCCTCTTTCTAGATAGATGCGAGGATGCGAGGACGCCTGACGGTGCGCCCTGTTGTGCCGACGGTTTTGTCTATTTTCATCAACGCCTGCGAGATAGCTTGCCCTGCCCCTGGACGCGGATTCACGCAAGACAGGCGGGTGCTTGGGCTTTCTGCAGGAGGGAGAGAAGCTGGACAATAGTCCTGATCCTCTCTCGCTTTTGACACGGGCGGATTATTGAATCACATCTCCCTGGGCCGCTGCCGACCCATTTGCTAGGGAACTACTCACCAGGTGCACCTACCTACCTACCTATGTATCCTGCAGGTTTCAAACTTAATGGTCATGATCCAGCCTCGGCCGGCCACCCAGTGCGCGTCCACACTGAGGCAAGAAAAAGGTAGGTCCCCACCAGGAAGACGCCACCAGATGCAGACACTTGTCATCGTCGGAGGTCGGTGGTTGTTTGCTTTATGACACATGTGCAAGGGGCTTGGGAGAAGGAAAGCACAGAACGAAGACAGAGGAATGTCAGCATGTCAAGAACCACCGTCCTGGTTATGGCCCGTAGATCCAACAACAGGCACCAAGGCAGGGTGCAAACGGCTGGGCCAGGAGGGAAGAAAAATATGGCACAGAGAACCTTGTCCGAGGCCCCCGCATCCGGCCTCGAGTTGCGTATATGGATGGTGCAGCAAGCACAAGGCTCAAAAGGGGAGGAGGGTGTGTGCGATTTGGTTGGGAGGGTGTCGTTTTCTGGAGGCGTGTGGCCGGCGCGCTCTGACACTAGCCGGCTCTTTTGGCAATACGTTTCGACCAGGTTCGCACCAAGAGGCGTGGACCGCAGGACCAGTGGTGTCGGCAGGGTCTTCCCATTGTCTTTTTGTCGCAGCAAAGTTCTTGACCCCAAGGCCCGCAGACATACCTATCACCAGATGCGCCCGCAGCCTGGCTGTCACTTCAACCTCTGATGCATCCCCGCATGTCTGCCTGTGATGCTCGTCTGCCAAGCACATACTAGCTCCGACCGTGGGGAGTTCGTGAACCAGCAATCGTGATGGCTACTCGTGGGAGCAGTGCGGTCATCCCGGGCGAGCCAGGCAGCTCGCCGTTTTAGGGTTCCGCCGGCTCCAAGGGCCCCGCGATGTTTGTTTGCCCGCCCCCCACCGAGGCTATTTACTAGTACCTAGGCGAGAGCCGCGTCTCGAGGGACCTGGAGAAGAACCCCCAGGGGTCGTTGAAGCGCTGATAACCAAGGTCAAGGCAGCACCGCTGCTCTTAACAGAACCTACAAGCGTTTGCCGGGGACTCGGGGCAGAAACAAAAGTGGTCAGAATACTCGAGACCGGCGAGGACAAAAAGGTACGGCACACTGAGCACAGACAGGCCGAGGTTGATGGAATATGCATCGGGTGGGACTAAAAAGTGAGCCAAGATTCAATTTTGCCGTGGCGGCCCCCTGAGGGGCGGTGGGTGCTTGGTGCTCCATCACATCGTCCACCTCGGCCGCCCCGCCCCACCCGGAGCGCTAGCCGATTTACGGGGTGATTTATTTTTGCTTGCACAGTATTAACATGGATGTACTCACTGTTCCTTCCGACACGGCTGAGCCAACGTCGTCGAGGGAAGAAGATGAAGCAGGCACGCAGGGCAGCGACAGCCACGGCGTCGAACCAATGCTTGACAGCGCTATACGACCCCAGGGCCCCGTGTATTGATCCACCTCCACCTCGACGTCCCTACGGCGGCGACTCAGCAGAGACTTTGTGTACCTGTGTGCCTGTCTGTGCCTGCTCAGGCGGTGGGCCGTCAACGTCCCATCGCGTGCTGTGCTTAATTTTGATTGATGTCTTGGATCCCACAGACCCTCCTCCTCCCTCCTCCTGCGACCTTGCGCCGTCCAAGAGAAAGGCTTCTGTGACGCTGATTCCCTTGGGTTCCTGCGATGCTCGAGAGACTCTGCCCGGCTGGAAGGGCGCATTGAGCAGGCGACTGAGAACAATACATTGGCTGGCCCGGCCTTGCTCTGACTGCCAGACGAGAAACACATTAGACACACTGGTCATGGCATGGCTCTAGTGTGCGGGTCGCCTTCCGCCCGCAGTGCCATTCGCGACCCTCGCCCATCGACCCTGACTAGGTACATGGGCACCTAGGTACCAAGGTAATACCCAGGCACCGAGGGTAGCTGTCAACATCTGTTTATCTGTCTATCATCTATCAGTCTGTCACCCACTTGCCTCCCTGCCTGCTTCGAACCCAACAGACAGCCGACGTGACCCCCTTGGCCACATTGATGTCGCTACTAGTGAGCCAGCCTAGTGAGCCAGTCTAGTGAGCCAGTCTAGTGAGCCAGCCTAGTGCACGCGCTCGCCTATCTACCCCTTCTGACGCTAGTCACATGATCCGATGTTGGTTCCACGCTGATGGAAGCTGTCGGCGGCGGCTCCCCCTGCGCGCTTGTAACCCCGAGGTAGTCACAACTGTGTCCGCACCTTGCGCCTCACAGCCTCCGGCTCCAGCAGCCGCCAACACCAACGAGGCTTGAGCGGAGTTCGGAGAGCCCGCTCCTTGGCTTTCCCGCCTGCACATCTGGGTCTACTGGGGCTCTGCCAACCGCGAGCCCCCCTTGTCGCCCCCACCACGAGACTGCCTGTCTTATTACATGCTGCCCCAGGCCGGCTGATCGCCCGAGATGGCCCGCGAGATGCCAATCCCCATTCCAAATAGTTACCCACCATTCCAGGTCTCAGAGTTGCGCTTTTTCCGAACTGACAATGGGTCTTGGAATCCCGCCGGCGGTGGTCCGGGTGTTTCTGGTCATGGCTGCCGCTCTCCACGGCCTTGTCTCTCCTATTGTCCATCACTCTTTGGGCCTTGACGTATCGGCGCTCCTCTGAGCGACGCCAAGTCCCCCGGTATACCAACCGCACCCGACCGGGCCAACTTGAGGCAATGGCGAGAGAATAAAAAAAGAAAGATAGCAACAGGCGCCAGCGCGCGGCGTTCAGCTACCTAGTAGCTAGGTAGCTCTGGCTTGCTAGCCTACACCACCTTTCATCTTTTGGCTTGGCTAGTTGCGGCAGGAAACACTGCGCACAAAATAGGGTATGCACCAGCACGAGCAGGCTCCGCTGGCCTTACCGGCTGGGTGTACATGTTGTACCTATTTTGATGATGGCGTAGACTCACCCAAACCCCGGTCTACGGGCCAGGAACGAGCTACCTCAGCTGCCAAGGGCAAAGGGCAGGGCAACCCTCACATCATGTGCTCGCCATCCCTGGTCTGTCCTCCAGCACGCACACCCTTCACCCTCCCTCCTCCTTCATCTCAACCCTTCCTACCGTTAGAAGTTCAGGCGTAGCTCGAATAAGCGTCGTCCTAAAACATGATCAGAGCAGGGCCAAACAGTGTGGAGCACACAGGTAGGCTAGATCGACCGCCATCTCCCGAGGCACTTATGCATGGTCCTCTGACTGCTTACCTGGGCGGGGAGGGGCTTTCTTTCACGCACGCCTTCCTTGCCTTGCGGCTGTGGCATTCCAGCCGACGAGCACCCACCCCCTTCACCCTGATCGTTCTTGTCGGCCGCCTACCCCCACCCCAGTCCACGTCTAGCAAACACCCCCTCACCCCAGTGCCTTACCCACACCCCCCCATATCCTTCCCATGTCCACCCCATTCCCATCAAGCATATCACCTGCGATGCCATATATGTATATCTACCCAGTCTGGCCGCTCCATGTCTCGATGGCAACAACCCAAGAATTCCCATCCCATACCGAATCTCCTCTCAAGATTCCTCATCTGCAGCTGATCAGAGACTGCCTCATTCTCCATCTTGCTCTCGTATCCACCCGCAGTAATCAAACACACAAAGAAGCCCCCGGAGCCACCAGCGAACAGTACCCCTACGCACCCCTACCATGAGGTCCCACATGGAGAGTAGCTACGGCCACTTTGACATGGAAGACTCGTTCTCCTACTCATCCAGTCCCAACGGCAGCTTCTCATCCACCGGATCATCCCCTTACGGCTCAGTGACACCGAGCTCGACCAGAGGCTCCTTTGGATGTCAAACGCCGCCGCCGCGCAGGCACTCGTCTCTTAGTTTCGAACACAGGCTGGGTGCCACCGACATGCGCATGGTCATAACGTCGCCCGAATACATGCACAACATGACGCTCCAGCCCAGCTCTCAGGGCTACTATAGGGACAACTACACTCCGGCGACGCCCCCGAGGACCGGAAACCCCATGGACATGAGCGTTCCGGGTCCGCTGGGCTTCATGGAGCACCAAATGCCCCTTCAGGGCACGCCCGGCGCCTACTCTTATGCCGACAGCCTGCCGCCGTCGCCTCCTTTCATGGCCCATGCGCCAGGCTACCCGACACACGGAACCCCCAGCCCTGGCGCGCAGGCCCCGATCTGGGTGCACGCCGGCTCCCCTGTGCCCATGTTCGAGAGCTCGCCGTGCTCCCGGTCGTCGTCCATGTCGATGGACACTGGCTTCGAGAGGATAGGCAAGCGAGATGTGGCTGGCGAGCTCAGGCCTCCCATCAGTGGCATGGGCCAAACACGGACAACGGCCGGGGCGCGCAGGATCGCCCGGCCGAAAAAGACAAAGGGCATCAGCAAGATGTTGGTGAAGCCCGCGGACGGGGTCCCCCTCGTGGTTGATCAGTACGACCAGAACGGGTTTCAATGCGAGCATGAAGGCTGCAACAAGCGGTACAAGAGGCCGGAGCACAAGGTGCGCCACGAGCTGTCGTATGTTCATGTTCTCTCACCCTCCTCCTCCTCCTCTTGGGCTCGGGTTTTGGCGGCTCGGACTGACAAGCTCATTTCCGCAGACACAAGCAGGGGCGCTACTTCCACTGCCACCCTGACTGCCCTCGCAAGCACCAGACAAGAGACCGGTTCGACAATTTTTACTCGCACTTCAAAAAGCACACGGACCAGAACAACCCCAACTACATCCCCGGTGCCGAGGAGTGGTGGGAGCAGCACTACCGGGACATGGACAAGAGGCGCAAGCCGAGGCAGACGCAAATCAAGTACGAGGAGTAGGCGGGACCACCAAGCTTGCCTCGGTAGGCCGCCTTGGCCAAAGGCCACACCCGCCACTTTCTGCACTACCTTTGCTCTTGGTTTACCCGGGTGCTTTCTTCCGCCCCATATCATTAATCCTCGGTGTCTTTTTTTTTTTGGATGTTGGCTGCATGCTTTTCCCTCCCACCCCATTCGCACCCCATCACCCATTTCTTCTCTAATCTTCTCGTGCGTTTGTTACTTGCTACTTGCTCACGGGCACAATGTCACTTCTTTCGTTTAATCGTCGCTGTGGACAGCAAAAGCACACACGGCTTGTTTGGGTGGCTTTTTCGTCATGGTACTACTCTTTCTTTGGGCGCTACAAGGCTTGTACTGAAAATCACGGGATATGGATACTCGCAGAAAATCTTGAATGAAAAATCCAAATGATTTCACAATCTGCTCCGTATCGTGAGGAACTGGGTCTGCTAATATGACCTCTTTCGGCAAGGGCTGGGGGAAGTTGATGGATGGGGGGAATGGGAAAGGAGATTTGACATGGGGCCGCTCGCTGGCCAACATAGCAACGACGACCGGAGGCAAAAAAAAAAAAATTGATCAAACAACGCGTCGGGACCAAGAGAAAATCCAACTATCTGGGTGATGCCCTGACCCCTGCCTTGCCTGTCCCATGGCCCCCCTTTTCCCTGGAGCAGAGCAGCCCCGAAAGCGTGCGAGGCAAGGAGTGGCCTGCGCCGTCTCGGGAATCTGACCTCCGGCAGCGCTATGCTCTTGTTTTGCTGGTTCACGTAGTTTTTTTTCTTCTTTTTCTTCTGGTCCATTCCCTCCCGCTGCTGATGTCAGCTTTCTTCCCCGGAACGTGGAATTTCCTGAATCTTTTGCTATTTTCATTCCACTGGCCGGCGCCCCCGCGTGGCCTGGGGGTCTTTTTTCTCTCCGGTTTCGATCAGGCAGGGCAGGCCAAATCCAAGATCGGAGAGGGCGCTCGATCGGGCCAACCAACAGCCAGCCAGCCAGCCAGCCAGCTCACCCAAATTCTCGCTTATTTTGATTGTGCCAAACGTCAGTGCTAGAAACAGGAACGAGTGAAGAAAAAAAAGAAAAGAATCAAGACCCAAAAAAGAACGCCACCGTATTTGGACGGTACTACGTGAATCTGCGCGCGCGGCCCCCCCTGGGTAGTGAAACCACGCCAAGGTCCTAAGATGGGGCGTCTGCTTCTTGGAGGAGAGAGGGGCGGACGCAACGACGAGGAGCGAGAGGGCGAGAGAGCAAAAAAACAAAAAAAAGGTGCAGATCTGGGCTCTTGGGTTGGAAGATAGAACAAACACACACACACACATGGCCAGCCGCAGGTCCACCCGTCGTCCCCCACCCGGGGAGACGTGCCGTAGTAGCCATGTTTGCCCCTCCGTTCTTTCTCTCTCTCACTCTCTCACACACACACACACACACAAAGCGAAATAAATACTCCCCCACACTCATTCCGGCTTTACGATCGTGCTATCTTACGAGGTCCCGGAATGCCTGGACTCGCCTGGATGGACACTAGATCGTGGACCCCTGTGAGTGGCAAAGAAATGAAAAAGGCTTGAGGATGCCGTGTGCGTGGTGTCATTGGGTGGCCTGGGGGTGCCTGGGGGCGCCCGTGTCCAAAGCTGATGTGGATGATGGGCTGATATTCCTGCTCACATTTCCCTTTTCTGCCCTATTGCTTGCTCGCCCAGCCTACTCTTGCTTTTTTTCCGCTGCCCAACTACATAGGATACCAGCAAGGAACGCCCCCCCCAAAAAAAAGAAAGCCAAGGTTAAGAGGGACGGAGTTAACAAGACCGAAAGAGTCGAGCTGCATACGCCCTAGCCACCACCCGCGTCTGGCCGAGAGAGAGAGAGAGACGGGCACGGGGTGGGCTTGGCTGCGTTGTCTCGCAGCAAAGAGAGAGGACCTGAACCTGACCGCCCATCATCCTACGCGAGCGTCGCAGTACCGAATCCCCGGGTCCGGCCCACACATCCTCTCGCCTTCTCACCTCCTCCATCTCGTCAAATGTTTTTTTCAGCGCTGCTCGCCGCTGGCCGCCAGCCCCCGCCCGCCTTCTCGCATTTCCCCCCCTTGTTCCCCATCACTCTCTCTTCTTCTTTTTTTCCCCTGCCATCGGGGACCCCGATTTGGATCCCTGGCCTGGGAAGTCCACGATCGAGCCGTATCTAGCCGCCACTTTTTTTTCTTTCTATATCTTCTCTTTTGGATACCTATTTTGTGCAATTTGCCCACACGCGTATAAACATGCCCATCCAAGGTTGCAGCCTATCTATACTTTTTTTCTATCTGTTATTTTTTACCGTGGCGCCTATTAAGCGCGGCTGTGAGTCGACGGGAGGCGGTGCAAGATTAAAAACAAATGTGTAGACCGTTTATGACCTTGTTAGACTTCGGCGCGTCTGCGCCTCCCCCACGCCTGTCGTGAGGCGGCGTCCGCCGTCTCCCACGCATGCACACAACCGCGTCCAACACCCCAACCACGGCACTAGCACACATGACTATGTTGCCTGTATGTAGGTATGCATTGGCCATGACATTCCCGTCTCGGTTCCGGGTCCAACGCCGCTGGCAGGCGATGGGGGGTGCGGGCAGCACCCGTTTTAGACTGCCTTCTCTCGCTTCTTCTTCCTCCTTCCTCCTCCTTCTCCTCCTCCTCCCTGTCCGGTCACGTACCTATCGTTCGCAAGTTACCCCCTCTCGTTTGGTGAAAACATGTCAACGCTACCACCTCCAATCTGCCCTAGTGCCGAAACCATCTACGCACCCATCCACCAGCCGACGACCACATTCCATCTCCTAGCATTGCCGAGGCCTTTACGCATGGATAAGGGTGTGGGGCAAGGAGGGGGGAGAACGCTGTGGCGTGCAATTGATATTTGTGGGCCCGCCAATGGCGGGGGACTGATGGGTGGGTCTACCTGTTGGTCAGCGGAAGCGAGGAGAGAAATTCGAGCTTATCCTAATCAAGAAACCGCAAGCATGGGGGACATGGGGGACAGGGGGGCGGCTTCGTCCCATATTTCCTCTCGTCGTTACCTTGAGGGCTCAGCCAACACACCGATGTGGCTTTTCCTCTCGCGCCGGCTGAAAGCGGTGGAAGTATTTTTGGCTGTCACCACGGGGTGCTTGAGCCAGGTGGTGCTTGCTTCCTGCTCGGTCCATGTTCATTTCCACACCCCATCGAAGGTGACGAGGAACGACGAGGCAGTGATTGTCGGCAACACGAACCCTACCTCGACACCTCGACACAAGAACCGTACGTCAATATAAGCACCAGGCAAGGGATGGTGAGACGTCAATGGGGTCTTGTCCTCCCCCATCCATCCCCATGCCCTGCTCATACAGCGGTTTTCTAGAAACAAAGGTCGTCTCGTCTCGTCTTCCCGATGGCCCCCACGGGGAGGAAGGCAGAGATGCGAGGGAGACAAGGAGACGCTGGACTAGAAACCGGGAAGCGGAGGAGGGAGGGGTCGGGAAGATTCAGGGGGGGCCAGAGTGTCGACCTAGTTCGCGCGGCAGGCATCGTGGAGATTGCACATCTTTCCGGTTGCTAGGAGATATGAGGGACGAAGCGAGGCGGGAGGAATTCTCTTCCGCTAGCGGCCAACATCGGTTACCCTACCTTGCCTATCTACCTACCTACCTACCTGGGTATCAGGTACCTACCCGCTACTTGCACCTATGACGATGGACGAGACGACCGAGAGCAGTAACGCCACGTCGTCCGAAAAGCCTTGCCTGCCCGGTTTCTTGCTTTTCTTTTTTATTCTCCTCTTCCCGGGGGCCCACCGTCTCTCGCCGATCCTTGACGAAATGCGGCAAGGTCGAGGCTCACCGGCTGCCGTTCACGGGTAGAGGCAGGGCCACCAGCCGCCGACAAGGGTGGTGGGGTCTTTTCTTTTCTTCTTTTTTTTTTCTTTTTTTTTTTTTCACTACTTGACCGGTTATCCGCACCTACCGACTCCATCCCCCCCCTCCCCTCCTGCTCGTCCGTGGAATGCGGGTGTGCGTCCCGAAAAAACGGGGGCCCGCTGATCTCTGGAAGGAGGGGGAGGGCAGGGGTGCACATATTGCCCAGCCCAGTAAGCGAAAAATGAGATTCCAGCTTTTGTCCACCAGACACTGCTAGCCGCTATGGGATGGACGTTTGTGTGCTGTATTTTTTTGCCGGCCGGCAATAATGATGGATAATGCGTGCCGTTCAGTGCCGGCGGCGCGCGTCGGACAGGCGCATCCCTGCAACTCCTGGCACTAACCCACGCCACAGTGCGGACAACCTCGACCCGGGCGTTTGGTAACGCCAAGGAGAGAGCGGGTGGGGCGGCGTCTCGTGATTGGCTGCTTCTCGGACCAGCATGCCCACGCCTGAGACACGCATGCCACGAAGCAGCGTGCTATCACAGCCAAACATCCTACATGTGGGGATGACCTGTTTGTCAAAGAGGAAATGGGGGGATGCATGGGCAGGCAACTTGGGATGACGTCGTGGGTGTCGTACTTCTGAGCACGGATTGGTGGGATATATGCAAAAAGGCAGTGATCCTCCTCGTCCCCAGGATACCAAGGCCCAGTAGGTGGCATTAGGGCATGTAGGTGTACCCAAACCTCTCGATGCTGCCTGCCAGCATCTTCATCTCGCGCGGCCGTGCCACCTGAGACCTGTCAGGTCCGTCCTGCTTTGGTAGCTCGTAGCCTCGCCCCGCGCCACTATCTCACACCTCTCCGCCCGAGTCCGTCGCCGCAAGAGAGGTGCGACGCCCTGCCGGGGCGAAACCAACCTGCAGGCCACCACCCCCGTCGCACTTATAGGTGGGGGGCCGAGAGATTGAGGGGCGGCTGGAGGGCCGAGGCCTGCCTACCCTCCACCTAGGTTCCTAGATAAGCTACCTGGGTAGATTATTCTACGTGATTGGTGGGTCCTGGCGGACGCGAGGGAGATGTAGGTTCGTCGCCCCAGTGCTGAGATTTCGGTCGAGATGGCACGGCGCACGAAAGGTCGAGTGGCAAGTCGGGAGGAAGTGCTGACTGACAGCGCGAGAGACTCCGTGCGCAAGGAGGTGTCTGCCCAGCCTCCCTCCGGAGGACGGCCGCTGTCAGGCCCGGCGAGGGGGGGGGGG